ACTATCGCCTGGGACCACTTGGTGAGTTTGCCTTTCATCTCAAGATAATACATCGAATTTCGCGTGCGCCACAAAGATACTCGGAGTGTTTGCTATAACTCAATTGCTGCGGTCATCTGTTTAACGTAAGATCCTCATAATTCCTTCAGTTGTAATTTCCAAGTTCGGTCTTCTTGAAACCTGGGCATGTCATATAATATTTCAGAATGCTTTGCCGTACAGGTTTGTTATGATGGAACCGTTTATTAGGCCGACGTTTCGACTAACTCGTCGTCTTCAAGGACCTGAAAGTAGTTCGGAGCTCTTGGTCTGTGGCTTACCTGACCAAGCGCCCAAACGCACTAGGCCAGTTCCAACTACTCCCAGAAACTCAAACACCGAAACATCCCTGCCAAGAAACCAACCTTCTGCGGTTCCACCAGCGTTGTCTTCCCACTCTATTTCGTGAACAACAAGGGAACAATGAGACACCATTGACGGTGGTGAGATAAGAATTGCGCGGTGATCTCAAAGCCCACAAAAGGGAATTCAGTTGTTGAATGGACTTCTCATTTGCTCGTACAGAGATCATTCTTCTTTGTCATTTCCCTTTGAATAGTTTGTGGAGGAATGAGCAAGTCATGGTGTGCTTTGAGGATGATGAATGATATGAAAAAAGCCCGTAGGGTGTTCTTAAGCCTTCACTATGAGCTTCTTGCATAGGAACAGCTGTTTTCACATATGCTGCACTGAATTATGAGTATCCAAGTGAATCCCACTGTGTTTGAGACGGAACTGCTGCTTTGGGATCCTGAAACGGTTAGAATATAATCTCTCAAATACCATTCACAACCGGGCTATTGACTTTCCTAGTTTGGCGTGCTCTGACGAATTTTTTCGCAACTCTCCGTTGTAAAAAAGCAGCATGCCGAACAAGCAGAGCTTAGCACGGATCATAGCTACATTACCTCTATATTACATGCTACTCTTACTATGCAACTACAGTTNTTCTGCCTGAAGCTCGCCCACGAGGCATGTTCCTTCAATCTCAAAATTCGTAGCTTTGGCCCAGATGTTCAGATTAGAAAAGCTGACGATTTAGCTTCTCTTCGTTGGCAGAAAATGAGAATCTAAGCAAACCAAATTAGTTCGATGAACCGGATCACCTTTACTATAGCGCTTGGAAATGGTTCAGAAAGAGCATAATAGGGGCCCAAAGCTCCTTAGCGAACAAAACACCCAAGGCGGCTGAGTTTTGACGACTTTAGAGGTCGCACCATTCGCACCGGGAATGTGAGCCGGGACCATATGTTGCATGCAGGCAGAATAAAATAGTCAACTGTAAGCAACACATTGCAGCAAGACACACATTTTGGTCAAGTCGTCCAAATATCTCTACTAGCACTGAACATCTCTGCTCACATTCTTTCAACCCGGGTGTGGTGCAGTAGGAACGAAATTGTCGCGTCGCGGCGAGAGAGGCGCCGCGTGCGAAGGAGTGTAACAGAATGCAGCAGCAAGTATGAATTGCAGGAACAAAAGAACTAACAGTAGAATTATGCCATAGTAATAATGGCATAGCGATTGAGCTGTATGAAAAACGCTAGAACTGTTATAACGAGGCAAATGGTCCGCGACAGCCGCGTGCGGCGGATCGGTTGCACAAAACCGTTCCTACTGCCCGTCTCCCGTTCAGCCCTAATTTCACTTAATTTAGAAGTCTCATACTCGTCTAAATACGCCGATTTTCGTAATTTTGCGCTACTTTTCCACTGTTCTGGACCATCACCTCCACTTTCTCAAATTAGATACCCCAAAATTGTAGTGAACTGAGCCTCCAAGTTAGTGCCCCATTGTAGGAGCCGAGCCAAGATAAACACTTTTCGATCATTGCCAGATTCATCTTGAAGAGCGAGACTTTCAAGGCATGTTATTAAATAAGAGGTCCACCCCAACTTCACTCATACTCTGTACTTGTTTTTTTCCAGAGAGGTGGTGGTTGTTGTTAACAATCGACGGGTTTCATAGATTCTATCAGCTGTTTTATGCCATATTCTGTATAAGAAGAATGGACGTCTTTCTCACCTTCCGAGGTCACCTCGGTGTATCATCCAAAGAACAAGCAAGCCACTGTTGACAAAATGGTGTGCTCTTCTTCTTACGAAACTTTTCTATGCGTGCGAATTTTCGTCGGCGAGCATTTCATTGCCGCTCTTTGCCCCCTAGTTCATCAAATTCCTCGGTCCCTGTTCCGTGGGGATCAGCTTATGCTACTCATCATTATTGAGGTGAGCCTTAGAAGCATGAACCACAAAATATATCATTTAGCGGAAGCCGGATCATACTTTTAGAGATTTGGTTCACTCTGAACTTGCCTTTCTTTGAAGGATTACTCATGCAGAAAAGGGTATGAAGATGATGGATGAAAGCTTTTCTATCAAGTGACCTCCTTTGATTAGTGCCAAACAGTGTCAGACAGGGTCCGTGGTTGTATGCATGCCCACACTCCTTATTAGGGTGAGCGGGATTATATCGAGGTCAGTGGAATATGGGTGATGGATGTTTGCTTGTAAGCAGAGTTTTGGATTTCAGTTGAGACCCTAGAATTTCGAGTCCGTAACAAAATTTGCATTATTCAGCATTCGAGTTGTTCAGCAATGCGTGACCAAAGCTTAAAGGCACAGTTCGCGATAATATTGGGTAACCCAGATTATGATGAAAAATGGAAGACAAGACCGAAAATAAAAAATCGGTGTTTCCAAAGTGAAAAAATGCTTCAAAAAACCGTTAAAAGGGGGGCTGGACAAGAATGAAACCAGGAAAATGAAGAAGAGTGGGGCGTTCGGACGAGCTATATAGTGTGTCTCACTGCGTGGGTGTGGGTCCTGGTGCGAATAACAGACTATGGTAAGCAAAAATTCATTCACTTATAAGCATAAGTAAACAAGAAATTCTAGTAACAGCAGAAGTAGCTCATCTTTTTCAGCCTCTAGGATTAGGAAGTTAAATAAAGGATCGCGGCAGCAAAAAGAAAAAAAGAGGAAAAAAGAATTGGAGAAAAACATCGCCTTCATCACTCGGCGATCAGCTGGTTGTGTGTGGGTCATAGAACGGATAGTTGCAATCTGTATTGTCTCCATACTCGTCTAACGTGACAACGATTGAGGGGCGGAAAGCGAACTACGGCAGCAACGGGGCTTCCACTATGCCCTGAGCGCCGAGATTGTGGGAGCGAGAGGGTCCCTTTTACCTTCCATGGGGGGCGCTGAGTATTCCCAAAGGAAGAACTCAGTAAGCTTTTCCATCGTAAACAGTGTTTTTAAGTTGGAAGTAGTTATATAAAAACCCCAATCTGAATTGCTTCTAACAAATTA